AATATCAGCATATCGGATATCGGCCAAAATCCCAATATCGTGCATCCCTAGTCTCATGCATTGTTCAGGTGTGATTTTGGCCCATTCTTCCACACAAACAGTCTTCAAATCACAAAGGTTTCGTTGGCCTCTTCTATGGACTCTGAACTTTAGTTCTTTCCATAGATTTTATATTGAATTCAAATCAGGCGACTGGCTGGGCTATTCTAGCAGCTTTATTTTCTTTCTTCAAAACTACTTGAGAGGTTCCTTGGCTGTGTGCTTGCAGTCATTGATTTGTTGAAATCTCCACCCACGTTTTCATCTTCATCATCCTAGTAGATGAAATCAGACCTTTATCAAGAATGTCTCTGTACATTTTTCCATTATTCCTTTCTTTATTCATTTGAAGTTTGCCAGTACCATATGCTGAAAAACAGTACCATATCATAATGTTCCCACCTCCAATCATCACTGTTGGTATGGTGTTTTTGGGGCTATGTGCAGTGCCATTTGACCTCCAAACAAGATGTCTGTTATGGCACCCAAAGAATACGGTTTTGGTCTCATCTGACCAGACTATATCCTCCCAGTATTTCACAGGCTTGTTTGGATATTGTGCAGCAAATTTTAAACCAGCTTGAACAAGCTTTTTATTCAGCAGCATAGTCTTGCATGGTGATTGTGCATACATGTTGGCCATGTTGATTTAGTGCCTTACTTATTGTTTTCTTTTAAACAATTGTACCTGCTGATTCCAGGTCTTTCTGAAGCTCTCCACAAGTGGTCTTTGGTCATCATCATAATTTGCAACAGTAAGGTTGCAAAGGTTTTGAGAAAGCTCTTTACTTTTACCCATCAAGAACAAGAGACACCTTTTTATAGGCCATTATTTGGGACTGAACCAGCTGATATTAATTTGCACTGACAATGGGCAAAATGGCTATGTAATTACTCAGCGATTTCAGCTGGTGTCTTGGCTTCCCATGCCTTTTTGCTCCTCCCTAACTTAACATTTAATACTTTTTCCCTCTGGAAGTCCACATTATTACACATCCATTAATTCCTGAACATCTATGGTTTGATTTCTTTGTATTAATGGATTGTTACCAACATCTGGTGAAAATTTCATATCAGGAGCACATTTGGAAATACATTTACTGACAAAAATGGTTGTCTGTTCAATACTTATTTTACCCGCTGTATGTGCCCTGGTTTCCAGCATAATTATGTTTACATTAAAAGCAAATGTTTCAGTCACATAACTGGACATCCAACTATGGAGATGTTGATACATTTTTCTCTGCTAAATGTATTCATAGACCAAATGGGTGCTTAGTGAAACAGGCATAGGTCATAAGCCAAACCTAGTTTGTCAAGTCTGGCTTATTGTCATTTGGATTAAAAAAAAAAGCTGAGACCCTGGTTTTTTTTTACATTAGCAGCTTGATTTTAGGTTATTACATCATGTTCTACTCACCCATATTAGTTTTGTGTCATTTGGAGCTGTTCTGAAGCTATTCAATTAGGTCATATCAAAGTAACGTCTTCCTATAGGTAGAGTTGAAGGCACAAACTAAACTGTTCATAATTTATTCTTGATGGCATGCCAGCATTCATCATATGTAGGCGAATAATGTGTCCCCCAGACATTCGCGGTTATATTTTTTATATTTATATATTTTTTTAAACAAAGCGGAGTGTGTATGACGTCATCCACGCGCCGGACTGGAGTTGTGACAGGCAGCCAGGGTCACAGGGGCTACGCTCTACCCCTTCTATTCATTCGGCTATCTAATCTGAATCGTTCAATTCCATTTTGAGAGTGAGATCATCTGTGGTAGTAGAACTAGACATCTTCCAGGCATATGAGTAAAACTAGCAGCAGTTCAGCGGACAGGATGAATGAATGGTAGCCGGCGCGCTCTTCTGATCTACCGCTGTCCTCCTTCCATCTCCATCAGTTAACTATCAGGCACTAACCCTGGCCAGCGGTGACCTCACTCTAGAGCTTCTCTAATGTACTTTTTTCCTCTTCCTGTACAACCACAGGCTCTCCTCCACTATTCGTGTTCTGTCGACCCACTCAATTTATCCAACCTTTTGCCATTAGCCTCTATAGCTAGCCCCGGCCAGCTGAAGTCTCTCCCCGCTCTGACACTCTTTCCTTGGCTGGTTACGGCAATCTACTGCTGTGTCCTTCCACTATCCCCCACCTTTTCCCCTCTCAGGTGCACTGTCTGCCCATTGGACTTCTCAAATCTCTCACTGTTGTATTATAGCTGCAAAGGGGGGCACAGCTGGATGTTGCAGGTTTTGTGTTTGTTGTGAATATATCATCTGCTTCTACCAGTGAAATATGGTGCTTGTTCACATTTTGCCATGGTTTCTCAATGACCTCTGTGATCAACTGCATGGTCTGCTTACGAATGTCCATTGTAATACTGAGAAGTTGAATATGTCTTATATTAGTGACATTAAGCAAGTAAAGAATCCCCTTGATGAAAGCCAATAATTGATGGTTGATA